CAAAAGCTTCTGGTTTTCTGAGTAAGAGAGGAGCAAAGGTTTGAAGGTTAGGTCACCCAGCTGATGGGGCCTTAAATGCAATGACCTCTTTGTCACAAAGTTTCCATACAGGCAAAGCACATGGCCTCCTTCTGACTCAAATCATACAAACTACCTATAGGTAGTACTGAGTCAACAGTACTCACAGGGGTGTCACATGCAAAACAGAGTAAAGCTCAAGAAGTACATAGATACTACAGTAAGAGAGACCATCTTGAATCAAGGACGGACCCATGGCAACATGAGCCAAATGCTGACAGCTCCACTGCCCACTTCTGCTCTGGTACCCTTCCACACATTGCCAAGACTTGCCCAGAGCAGACAGCAAAAAACCTATAGAGGTCTAGAGTTTGCCACAGAACACCATTGACAAAAATCATTCTACCAGAAGAGGCACGCAAAGACTTTTATAGTTCAAAACCAGCTTCTCTGCATGAGCCTCCTCTTTGATCAAATCACTGCTTTGATAGCAAATTAAAATGCATAGTGTATGTGAAAAAGCTGCAGTATTTTCTTAGCTTCTACTAAGTTCTCAGTATGTACTTACAGCAAGAGCCCCCTGAATCAAAACTGTGTGTTTCCCATCTGAAGACAGCCAGACTGCTACGGCTCCATCCCCCAAAAGTCTTCTAAAAGCTATGCTTTACTGCAATGCAGAACTAAAGCTTTTTTCTCCAGGCAACTCTCTGAAGGATGGCAGGATCTGACCTTATTACATACTCTCTAGAACACATCTTGCTTTTGGTATAAAATGTCACAGAATTTTCAATCTACCAAATATGGGTGTTTTTTCTTCATCCCTGCTAACTATTGCATACCTACACTCTAAAATAAACCCACAAACTGCAGAAACAAAAGTCCTGTCTGATTATTTATCATCCTATTTACGCAGCACCATCCCTATGCAAGAGTCACCCAAGCAATGAATGATAAAAGCACAAACAAATGAAAAATGGATGAGCTCCAAGGTTCCTTTAGGAAGACTTAATTTCTCATCTTTGGTGAAGATAACTTCCATTCTTCACAGCATTGAAAGAAAAAGAGCAGGCAACTTCAAAACCCAATGGCTTCTCTGGTATCTGCACACCACAGACCTCAGCAAAAAAGTCTATTTTCGACCCGTGTTTGGAATTTCAGCTGACAACAATGAAGACTTCTTGTGTGGAACAAATAAGGAACAGGAAGAAAGTCCTATCCATAACCAGGCTCTGTGAGCAGTATGTCAGCCTGGAGGATGCTTGTTTTGAAGCGTTCTCTCTTTTGACCTCTCTCTCACCACTCCCCTTACATTTGAATTCTGGAGGCAGTCAGGCCAGCACCCTCAAAGCCACAGCCTGAGCTAGCGCTGGGGAAGCAAGCGTAGCAAGGGCAAGCCCCTTCTCCCCACAGAGGCTCTCTCACCCATCTTGTGGGGTTTTTGAACCCAGAAACAGAGCTCCAGCAGCCTCACTCAGCTCCACCAGCTCCAGCCCATCACATAGCAGTCCCTCCTGCACACTGAAAATAATACCCGTCAAATTTTGGGACAAAAGGGTTTTCTGATTTTTACCTCTATCTCAAATACACAACTAACAAGCAGAATTATTTTTCTTTCCCTGCTCTCAAAATCAGCACTAAGACTGTTGATTAAATTCCAACCTTTGAATCTTTACTGCTTGAGATCACAAACAAGAAAGAGCAGGACTCCGACTCTCAGCTCCTATGGGCAGTGCAGGGTGATTAGCATTTACTTAAAAAGAAAAAAAAAAAATCTGTTTACTTGTAACCTAAACAGATTTGCTCCCAAGTCCCTGAGATTTGGCAGACATGGAATCTGATATGAGCCTTTTTTATGAGGCAGAACTGCAAGTGGCCCCTAAATACCCACAATAAGAGGTGGATTCAATTCACGGGTATTCCATTGCAAATATAAAACCTTGGCACAGGGTTGGTGCAAAAAGTAACCAGAGAAATATTTAAAAAGCACAGAAAGAGGAATCTAAACTTCCCTCTAGCTGTTACAATTCTTTCAAGAAGCCTGAAACAGAAAAACAATTACATGAAAAACTACAAAACGTAGATCTGAGGGAAGCGGGCACAACTCACCCACACTTTTGAGGCAAGCCTGTAAAACTTTCACCTAAGAAGGGAAATATAGAAGTAGTTTGTGAAATACTCAGTTTAACAGTGATTTTTGTCAGGGATGGAGACAACATATTTGATCTTCTTTGCATGTCTTATTTCTCTACTCTTCATATTCACATCAATTAAGTGAACAAGGATCAAACCCACTGTTGGTCTTTATGTCAGCAAAGCACCTAGCAATGCGGTGGCAACACAGGAAACAATAAACAGACTGTAGGCTTTCTGCTGACTTAAGTTTAATAAAAGAGCTGATCCTTCCTGAAAAAAATCAAAACTATTATTATTCAGAAAGCAACAACACTGAAAGGTATTACAGCATAATACTATACTGAGAGTTCATCACTATACTGTTCAATTCAGTTGCTACCTCAGAAACACAAGATGTGAGCAAGCCAGTATTCGCCACCTTTTTTATTATTATTATTCTGTCCAGAAAACAACTGAGGTAGGAAGGATAAGCAATGTAACAGAGACTAAAAACATTCTTTAGCAGAGTAAACCCTGATACACATGCCACCAAGACTGAAATTTCATGTCTGTTTCTCATTGTATTAACAGCTCTGGACATCTGATGTCCCCAAAACAACTTAATTCCCATTTTCTCACCGGCATGAGTGTACATGATACAGATACGTCCCCTTGCTTCACCTGTCCCTAACCACGCACTTAAAGCTGAAGTGAGGCACTGAATTTTGCCATCGATTTCATTTTGCTCAAAAATAGATATATATTTCTTTATTTAATTAGAAGGACATTATTATATTCTCTTATCCAGATAAAACATTAAAGAAAACCCAGTTAGAAGTTTCAGACTCCTAAATATATAGAGAACATTTCCAACCACATGACCTCTGGTGAATTTCTTGGACAGGATAGAGGTCTGGCAAAAGCAGGTCAAACCCCACTGATGCGAGGGGAGTGGTGTTCATTACTACTAGGCTGAATTTGACCCATTGTGCAATTAAGAAGAAAGTAAAGTGCAACATTAGAGGAGTTTCATTGTCACCCAGACAGTTAACACTCACTTAATGTGGAGTTCTGCCCCCAGGCTTCAGACATCTTTAAAGCTCTGTATTTAAAAACAAGCACTGCTTTGAACCAAGACAATAAAGAAGCCATTAGAAAAAAGTCTATTAAACACTTACCAGGAAACCTGCTATGGAGGTTAGCATCACAGTTGTATCCATTGAACTGAGCAGTCACTGAAAGCACTTTAATCGTCAGCAGGAGCAGTAACCATACCTGTTCCATTGCAAAACCTAGCAAAACATTAGGTGGTTATTACACACATCTGTTCATTGCGTTAAAGATGCTTACTGCAGACATTTAACCGCTCGGGAGGTGATGGTCTGCAGCAAAGGAATTGGGGATAAAGCTCACAAGCTTATGGGAAAGAGGCCACAGGCAGCAGGGCCCATTTCTCTACTTCTGAGTAATGTGTAATTTCTATTAACTTCTACAGCTTTTAATCATAACTTGTGGCAAAAAAGGTACTCAAGGATGATATGAAAGAGGAGGAAAAAAATCCCTAAAATATATTGATAGATTAGGATTGCTTAAATGTTTAAGCTCCAACAGCTTTTTAACATTTCAGTGTACAAATTCTTTGAGAAAGATATCTTAGAACAATAGTTTTATTTTAGCCAAGTCCTTAAAAACCATACAGATAAAGGGCTTGCTGAGCAATTCTCAGGCTCAAGGTCCTAGAATAAAAATTAGTTCATATCTGTTTGCCAAAAATCTGTTCTTTGAAGCAGGCATGCAATTGCATTGAGCTCATGCACGGAGTTGGCACAGACACTTGCATCTACTTGAATTGTATCTGGCAACCAGACCAGGAGATCAGAACACATGAATTTCTAGTGTTTTGAGTAATTACTCCTCTTGGGAGGAAAACTTCAAGGGGTAATACCTGTGGTATTTAGCACAACCAAAAAAGTATCTGATTCATGCTTTTGTCAAAAATAACCCAAAATATTGAGATTTTTGTCCGTGAATCCAAGTGTTACTGATTTTTTTTTTCTTTAAGATTTTGTAATCCTAGAAAATATCTCTGCTGATGTGGACCTCACATGCAGCAATGCTCTCCATTTGCCTAGAGAGGAACTGAGCAATTCTAAGATTTAGGAAGTTTGCTTTCTCTAAGACTATAGATACAGAGATGCTGATCATCACCTTTCTGCAAGTGGACATCAAAGAACATTTGTAAACGCCATAGATGCAGCACACCTAAATGCAGCCATATCTGGCATAGCAAGTGGCTGTCATGCATTGCTGAGAAGAGCTGGCAACAGCACACGGAGAGAACATCTGGGACAAACCCTCACTCTTAACTGGATCTTTAATGGCTACGCAGCAGTCTAAGCTAAAGTCTGCTCAAATTAATAGAAAGGCTTCCACTAGTTTTCGAACAGGCTCACGGAGTACACAAACCTAGGATTTAAAGCCTTGTGTCGAAAGATAGACCCACAGAGGACACTCCCAAGTGCTCCTTGTCAGCAAACAAATCAACTACAGTAAAGCATCAAACTCTACTAAAAGGTCAGAGAGATGTCCAAATGTCCGGCCATTCACTCCCGTGTAATTCTGCTTGGAAGTACATGAAATAAAAACAGAGAATTGGAAATGCCAGCTTCCTGCTAAGCATGCATGTTTTGTAAGTCAGGTATAACTTTTGCTATCATATCCAAAAGCAGTTTTGCTAGCAAGTTCTGCACAACTTCCTCAAAGCGTGACTTATAGCAACAATGCAACCTCCTTTTAGTTTCAGGTGGATACAAAACTCCAAATGAAAGCACCCTTTGACCCTCTACTCCTTTTCCATTAGATTTCTGTGGAGGTTGACAGCACTTGCAGCTAATGTTGATGAAGAATTGTGAAAACATAAGAAAGAAAATAAAAGTCCTAACTGGGTTGCTATGAAACCTCTGTATTTTCATGATCTCCTCACCCTCTCCATTACTCTCAGATGGAGAAGTAAGGTGGTGTTTTGTTTGTTTGTTTACTATGAAACTTCATACTTTATTTTGAAAGAAACATTTTTTCCTTTGGAAAACTGGCATTTCTCCAGCGTACTGGAGCCTTACCTCTGCTTGTACAACAGTTACATCGATAAAGTGGCTATTACTGTTCTGTTGTATATGAGCTGGTTTCTAATGTCCATTACAATGGTATAAATCAAGGGCAATTTACCAAGATCTAAATCTGACTTCAATTTTCTAACTGCCACAGTATTTTTTGCTACCAAAAAAAACCTGTTTGAAAAGAATTTAATGAAAGATTACACTGACAAAGCTGTAGCTATTATTTTAGATGAAAAGCAGAACTTACAATAAATTCTAAAATTTTAATTATTAAACTTAACTTCTGCTGCTGCGTTTCAGAGGAAGGAGAGATGATTGCTAACGGACAAAGCTGAATTAAGACATTAAGTATTTATAGCATTAGTTCTCTAGCTGCATTCAGAACAAGTCAGATTTTAAACACAACCAATAATGTCCTACTTGCTTTCTGGCTATTGACTCATCTGCATACTCATCAACATGCAGATCCACATCCACAGTTGAGCTGACTACTGCGGATTTCAGTTAAATAAGTTAGGAACTTGCATTATTTTTCATTTCTCAAGAGAATTGCAGGGCTACAAAGCACCCTGAGAGGACAACCTCACCTATCTGCCCACCCCAGCAAGAATCAAGGCAGCCACTCCTGCTTTTCTCCTGCTTTTCCAGCCTGTTCTTAAAGGCCTCTGGCAATTTATTTCTCAACAGAAATTTCCAAAACTTCAGTCCCCTAATTGTATAAGGCATCCTAACCAAAAGATTTGTACCATACTGATACTGCTGAACGTTTCATCCAATTAAAGAAAAAAGCATAAAATTTTTATCAAAATAGTAACAGGAACATTATAATCTTATTGCCTGTAGATGGATAAGAAATGAAAATTCCATGTACAAAAAAAGGAAAGTAATGCGCAAGTGTCAGGAATAGGGTGATTTATAATCCAGGAGTCACCAAGTTCATATGGAAGATATTTGCCTTTTTTCTTCAACGTAGTGTGCAATTTTTTAAGCCTTTTTCGAGGAATACAGCTCTTGGTGCTTTCCAAAAAAAGTGCTTCTTTGGTCTAGCAGCAAACATATTTGGCTGTTAAGAAGACTTTCATGATTCCAAAGATGCCAACACATACTGCAAGGGAAATGTGATCCTGTCTATCTATGAAATTCTTGATTGACAAACCCATACCAGGTTTCACTGATGTACCCAGAGTTCTCTTCTGTGTTCTTCAGACCTCGTCTCCAGTTCTCTCTGCTGAGCATCTTCAAGGATCTTTTAATGTTTATATGATTTACCACGTTTTGCCTATGACATTCACAGTGTAGTGCTTAGACTCACCGAAATGCCCAAATCACCCCAAAAAATCCTGTCGTAGTCACATAAATAATTTTACTTCCAAATGTTTCTGCCTCCACCCATCCACCTAAGGATCTCTTCCAAACAAGGTCTGGTATTTTCTGTTTAGCAAAGGAACCATTCTTTCCCTTGACTTGGGGGTGGAGGTAAAAATCCCTGTGCAGGACTTCCATTAACAATAAAAGAAGACAAAAGAAGTTGTCATGTGACAACTCTCTCAAGCATTACTAGAACAAAAGAGCTTTAAAGGCCAGGTATAGACAAAGACACAGGCAGGGATTTAAAGACCTACCAAACACGGTTAACTAAATCATTTCAGAGACCATGGTTCACATAGATATCTAAAACAATCAATTCAAAGGAAAAACAGCCCAACATATCCAGGTTCCCATGTAATAAAATTAGAGTAAACTTCCAGAATGCTGAAATAGTCAGGGTATGAATCTCTGCTGAATCAGAGTGCTGAATCAGCACTGAGTCACAACTGCAGGTCTTAACTGTTCTGTGCTGCATATCATTGAAGACTACAAAGAGGTAAGAGTTGCAACATGCAGTCCTCAGTTTATTACCATTTTACAAAGCCCTTATCCCTGCTTTCATAAGCTTCACCATGTCAGAAAACCTGCACAAAAGTTTGAAGTCAAGATGTTTATGATTTAAACAAAAGCCATTTTGCAGTCAATTTAGGAATTTAGTTTCATGGAGAAGCAGTGGTTTGACCTACTTAGATTCCCTCTTCTTTTCTCTCTTATTACCTGACATTCATTTCTCTTCTTCACCCATCCTCTCTAAAAAGATCTTAAAAAATTTTCCACTGTGAACAGCATTCACTGATTCAGCCCTACATTTTTATTGAAATTCATTTATGAACCAGTTCTGACTTCTGAGTCAGACTTATTTCAAATATTCATTGTGTATTTTATGAGAATATCCTATAATCTACTGCTTGTTCTCTATTTTTCATCCACAGGGTGTGGCAGTTCTGCACAATAATACGGTGATCTTTATGCCTTTTGACTGGATAAGTCTTTCAAAAAAACCAGTTAATAGTGATAGTGAAAACTTCTGAAAGAAAATTATAGATGTGATAAGCACATAATAAAGCTGGTGGAACATTTATAACTGTTTTCTTACATATCCAGTAACTGCCTAAATGCTCTCTAGCATTGTACGTTAGGTCTCTACAAGTAATGGAATAGAAACGTTATTACTTTTACTCATAAAAATATTTTCAAATTATCATTATATAGTTCAATGAGTACTTCTCAGTCATCTCATGACAAAATAGTTCCTTGTCTTTTTGGTTTACATTCGTCTTGCTGCCACACCTGCTTCTGCATCTGCACTGAAGTTGTGAATAGTCGTGAAATGCGTTAACTGTACCACCGTCAGGTCTTCCAGAACCGCTTTGCTTCTAGACATGTACTAGATCATCTGCTGTCACTGAAAAGTAACCTGGTGAACAAAACCAGAAGAATACCAAGTTTTTCAGTGGAACTTTCTCTTTTAACTTGTACATCCCATTGTAACAAATTACGCAGCACACGTTTTCACTATTGCCTTCCACTTCTTTATCTCCTTGGCTCTTTTGATGCAGATAAAATAGGACTTGGATCTTTACAGTATCTGTTTTGAAGACAAGCCTACCAAATGGTGAAATTCCCTTTTTTCAAAAGGATTGTTACAGAAAAAAGGGCACCTGAGTTGCGAAGAACTTTAAAACACATTTCAACTATAAAATTTCCTTCTGCTTGTGGATAATCTTTGGTGCTGAGACTTTGAAACACAGCATTTCTTTTCCTACAGATTTCTCTGATTTCAGACTCCATAGTGCCATC